AAATGCATGGGAGAAGTTGGAGGGAGGAAAGAGATAGGAGGAAATGATAAAATTATAATTTCAAAAAATAAAAATTATGAAAAGAAATGGAATGGCAGATATTATATATTCTGACAACATGAAACATGGAAAACTTACTAGAAGGTGATATGGGATAGGCAGGCAGCTGAAGCAAATGTATCTGAAAAGGTGACTGTGAAGTGAGACCTCAAAGGAGCCGGTTACAGTAAGAGTGACAGAAAGGGCGCTGCTGATGGAGGGAACAGTGGGCAGTTCAGCACAATGGGTGGACTGTGACCTTCAGCAGAACATTGTCAATGCCTTAATGTACACAGAGAGAACAGACTGTGTGCATCACAGATGAGAGTTAGCTACCAAGGAGGGACAGAGCTAGACTAGGCTACAAGAGGGTGTTCCTGAAAGGAAGAAGGACAATAGTTTTGCTGGCATTTTTTTAGTGTATGGTGGGCACAGCAGCCATTCTCATTTGGGGACTTCTTATTCCTGTTCCTGTAACAACCATCCCCTGTCAATGCCAACATTTAGAGCCAGAAAGCCACAACTCAATCAGTTCATATTAATAACTTTAGGGTACTTGTGGGATTTGGAAATAACCAAATCCTCCCACTCTGCGCCTTCACTGGCAACATTAAACTTGTTTATTCTTGAAGACACTGTCATCATTCCAGCAAACACAAGGACATTTAATTCAGTCCGCCCCACCCCCTGCTCCATTTCAAAGTCACCTCTGGTTGTTAAGGTTACAGGTTAAGGATCTTGTTTCCTGGCAGTTATCTTGGCTCATCTTTCTTCTCTGATCCTAGAGTGATCAAAAGACTCTTCCCCAATGATGGCTGTGTATACATCCTGTCTGTCCATTGCAGGAGTCACCAGCTGTCTGTGGTCATCGAGCACAGGAAAGGTGGACAATATAAGAAACTAGATGTTCAATTTATTGAATTTTACCTAATGTAAATAGTTTCAGATGAGTAGCTCCAGAAAGTTAAATGTTCTTTTTGATTACTGAAAAGGTACTAAAATACATTTACATAAATAAGCAATACAGTTAGTGAGAAATTTCTTCTGAAAGAGAGGAGAAGAAGAAGAAAAAAGAGGAGGAGGAGGAAGAGGAGGAGGAGGAGGAGAGAAGGAGAAAGAGGAGGAGAGGAGGAGAAGGAGAAGGAGGAGAAGGAGGAGAAGGAGGAGGAGAAGGAGGAGAAGGAAGAGGAGGAAGAGGGCAAAGAAGAAGAAGGAGGAGGAAGAGGAGGAGGAGGAGGAGGAGGAGGAGGAGGAGAAGGAGAAGAAGAAGAAGAAGAAGAAGAAGAGGAGGAGGAGGAGGAGGAGGAAGCATACTTCAAAGTTGGCTGAATTGGCTGAATTGGCATACAGAAATATAATCATCATCCATTAGCATATTTATTTGGCCAGATCATGAAAAATGTCACCTCATCCATATTTCAGAAGTTTTCCTAAAAATTATTTCATTAAGTATTCAAAAGTGAATCATGAGGTCTTCTTTGATGGAAATAGTCCATCACAAAAGAGCCTAGGAAATGGCTGTGCTTTCTGTTTCTCTTATAGATTCATAGTCCATGTCAACATAATAAAGACTTCCAAGAAGTCCTATAGTATTCAGCTCTGGAAAACACAATTTAACTTAGAGATTCCAACATGCTTAAAAGAAGGGTCCTCTGTGTGTGTGTGTGTGTGTGTGTGTGTGTGTGTGTGTGTGTGTGTTAATCTTAGCATCTGAAAAAAACTAGAGAAAGCGGACAAGAGCCTGGACTTTGATAGGAAATGATGCCAGATTCATTACTAGCTGGTGACTTTGAGAAAGTTGATTAACCTTTTTACTATTTTGTTCAATAAAATGAATGAATTATTGCATCACTGGCTTGCATTGTATATATAACCCAAGCAGTTAGCTAGTATTTCCATTACACCTGTGGGGTTAGGTGACTGAGTGACAGACTGAGGGTCCAGGGAAAATGGTGCCATCATTGAGCAGAGCTCAGGTATTGAAAACATTAATGTGCATTATATTAGAAGTCAGAATGAGAGATGAAGCTATGCTGCACCTCATGACTTAGAATGTGCACCCAGTACCAAATGCTTTCCTACAGTTCATTCTTGGCACAGCCACCATTTGAGCTGTGAGTTGAAGTGTGTTATCCTTTGAATCCTCAACCTTATGCAAAGTGAAGACTGGACCCATCATATCTGCCTCTGGGAGCTCTGTGCTCTGGTCTGCCCTGCTCAGGCTTCTCTTTCATTGTATCCAACCACTCTGAATCTATTTCTGCAAAGTCTATTTGCTGTTCAATAGATATGACAGTAACATGCCCGCCTCTGAGCCTTTGCATTTGCTGGCTGTTTGGTATACCACACTCTTCCTGTCATCTAAGGTTCCTTCTCTTATAACTCTTAATCCTTTATCAAAATGTCTTCTCAGCCCTCCCGAAACTAGCAACACAACTCCACCTCCTCTCGTCTTCTCCAATCTCTTTTCTTGCCTCACATATCTGATGTGCTAGGTTTGATTTTCCTTATCAGTTTCCACCTAAAAGAATATAAGTTATGTTAGAGCTGAGTATCTTTGTCTGTTTCATACTCTACATCTGGCACAGAAGACATCAATGACAACAAGTGGGGACTAGAAAGATGAATCATCAGGAAAGAGTGCTTGATGCTTTTGTAGAGGACCTGGGTTTGGTTCCCAGTACCTACGTTGGTAGTCACAACCACCTGTCGTTACAGTTCCATGGGACTTGACACCTATTCTACTTGACACCTGCACACTCATAGTCTATATACAAAAAAACAGGCACACAGACATACACACAAAATAAATCTTAAAAAAAAAAAGAAAAGAAAAAAGAAAACCACCGAGTGGTAACCAGATGCCAAAGTTGTCCATATTCTGTTGCTATGTTTAGTTTGTAGGATAGATTATCCCAAAGAAGAAAACACATCTCCACCATGCCCTCTGTGGTCTTTATTAGTGTTTTCTGGGACCCATCAAACAAACAAAATAAAATTCTTTCATTAAACAGAAATTGTTTGAGTTTAACAGCTTAAGGGGAAAGGGTTATGATTTTTTTAAACAGTGGCAGCAGGGTTGTTGCCCACCAATTATCAACCCAGAAGCCAGATGGCAAGAAGAATGAGATTTATACAGATAGCTACAGAATGATTAATCCAAATTCAGCTAAACTCTGAAGTCTACATGTTTCAAAAGTTTGTGAGATTCAGTTCTAAGAAGTTTGGTTTTCTTAATGGTCTCTCTTATTCCAGAAGCTGAATCTTGAGCCCCAAGCTGAGGATAACTCACCTGTGACACTAAGTTTGTCATGCTGGTATCGTCTCTTAGTCAGTGTTCCTCTGCAGATCCAGATCGTGGGACTTTTACAGTCTATATTCTCACATATACTCCTCACATGTATGGTGTTCCACTATGAACAAGGCACCCATTAGGTGCCTTTAATAAACCACTGGAAAAAATAATGTAATTGCTTCCCCTTCTTACTGTTTTCCCTTTTCTTACATTTTTATACATTAGCAAAGACATACGTGCAAAATGAAAATCTAACATGCATGACTAACCTTATCAAAATATCCCTTAGCATTTTTCAAAAAGGAAAAAAATAACAAAAAATAAAAACCAACCCCTAAATACTAAAACTGAAAATGGGTTCCTGCTTAAATAGCAATTGACATCATATAAACACATTTGTAATCTTCATTACGTGAGTCAAGGGTTCATTACTGGCATCTTGTAACCAGGTTAAGTCTCACAGTTCTAGAAAGCAACAGAATTCTCATCCAGCAGACACTGGTATGTGGAACCAAGCAGGCTGTTTGAATTTCTTTTCAGCACAGGTAGGAGGCAAAGGAGAGTGTCACAGTAAAATGTTCGCCTGAGAGGATATGTCTTGGAAGGTTTGGTTATTATACTCTGTTCTGGAGAAGTGATTCACATCCCAGTTATGAATATGACTGATGGCTTCCCAGTCAGAGGAGTCTCCCAGAAGATAATCATCATCCACTCCTTGAATATATATCCTGTTGCATCCCAGGTATGAGGATAACAAAGGTGATCGGACATGGTCCCTGCCCCTGGAGAGCTTACAGTCTAATCAGTTGGGAACTTGAAGGAAGGCTCAGTGGATGAAACTCATGGGCAGGGTCTGCCCTGCTCAGCATACTGAAGAAACCGTGAACCTAGTCCTTGGGATCCAGGGTCTTGCTTAATTTCATCAAGTCATATAGGAGCCTCAGACAATCTGAGTCTTGTGAAGTATTAATGGTCCATTACTTGACTTCAGTTCCCATGGAAGCCACTAATACACCACTTAGGAATATTCAAGGAGACTATATTTAGTGATCCTGTGGCCTATTAATCACAGATGAACTTATTAACTATCCCCTAAAGAAAGAGGTTTTTCTGTAGGACTTCTGGGTTTGTTTGTTTTCAAACTGTGGTGGGAAGCACAATGTTACATCCCAAATTGGCATAGTTTGATTACCTGGAGTTCTCAAAGTCACGAATACCACATAGAAAACACAGCAAATTCAAGCCAAGACAATAGATATGCAGAGAACTTAATACTTCAGCCTACTTAAATTGGAACTGGGTGCCAAGAAGCTGCCACTCTCAGCAAACAGCATAATCTATTTATCTGTAGAACTGTTCCCACTGGTCCTCTCCAGATTCACCTACTCTCTGACACAAATAGCTCTATGATGAAGTAGATGTACGAAGAGTCAAATCCAGTTACAGGAATAAGAGAAACTGAACCCAGGAAAAGGTCTGGTTTTCCTAGACAAAAACCAGGGAAGGAAAAGCAGAGAGAAAACTGACAGGGGCCCCTAGTAACTTCACACACACACACACACACACACACACACAGAGAGAGAGAGAGAGAGAGAGAGAGAGAGAGAGAGAGAGAGAGAGAGAGAGAGAGAGAGAGAGAGAACCACAGAGAGACATTCATAGATTCCTTGGTATTTCCTTCTGCAATATCTGCATTCTTGGTGCAAACATCTCTTGCACTTCTCAGCATCACTGCATTTATTTGACTTTGGCTCTGATGTGAAGCTCTGAAAAGAATCTTCTCCATCTATCTCATCCTGCTGTCCCTATTAAAATAAAAATATATTGACTTCAAGGTCTTGCTTTTGCTTTACTCTAGGGACTAGAAGTATCTACAGAGCCCTCTGTTCTGAAGACGGAATGACTGCCTTTATACCTACTGGTTCAATTGCTGATTCTAATCCAAGGGTACTATTGTCCTCCTAGAGACATTTGACAATATCTAGAAATACTTCAGATTGTCACAGTTACTAAAAGTGGATGGAGTTCATAGATATTGCTACACATTTTACAATGCCCAGTACCACCATCACCTCAAAGAATGACCCAGCCCCAAATGTCAACTGTACCCATGGAGAAACCTTGAACTACAGAAATACAAGAGCATGCTCATCAATCATTTCCAGGCTACCATCTTCCTGTCCCACTTATTTTTCAATATTTGGGCTAAACTCTAAATAACTAGAAGTGACCGCATGTGGTAACTGACTTTTCTAACCAACCATTCAAGGGTCAAGGGGTTACATGAAAATCATCCATGAACGAGAGTAAGCTCTTCTCCTACCATTGTTCTCACGTATTCAAACATTCCCAGTCCTGTGATCATGACGTGATTATAGGCCACTCTGGATTGTCAAAGTTCCCACTCTCAACTCACTGTCTCCCAATTCAAGGCAAACTTCCCAGCATCTTTTGGATTGATCCCAGCAATCTGAGGATCTGGACTTTGTCCTACCTACCCAATCCCATTTCTCTTGAGGCAGTCACATGGATGTTTATATGCAGAGAATACATATTGCCTTTTTTTAAAAGTCCTTTTACATTTGAAAACATTTAATGCCCTCATTTCCTATCCCTTCCTCTTAGCAACAAGCACAAGGCTGCAGGCCCTGTTGTTCTCGGGGTAGAAAAGAACACCACAAAGAGGCAACAGCAAATCACAACCACATACAGCTTCATAGTTCACAGAAAACTGTGTACATTTGTTCCCCACATAGGACATACTTCAAAGTAACAAAATAATTTTTTTTATCAACTGTAGTGTTCCTTCTTCCCGTCAGAAGTAGATTTTCTTTGTCCCTTCATGGTACATAAATATCACAGAAAAGTAGTCTTTGAAATATTTACGTCCAGTTCTTCATTGATCACAATCCATTTGCTGTGTGTTTTGGTTTGTGTCCCAAGGGTTGGCAGCCTCAGTTCTCATTTTCTCTCCATCCACGAGCATTCTTCCCAAACTTATAGACCAGCCGTCGTCCATCCACACGTTCCAGGATCTCTCGTTTGTAGTAATATCTGTAAGAAGAAAATGGGTAAGGTAGCCATTCAGCCTGGGCAGGACAGGGAGCACCAGTTCTTGGTCTTGCCATTGGAAGAAGGTGAAGCTGCTCACCTCATGGCCCGGCTGAGCTTCTCATACGTCATACTACTGTTATTTTTCTTCTTCCCCCACAGCTGAGCCACAGCTTCTGACTTCAGGAACCTGAAGATGCCTTCTGAACGATCTTCCCACTTGATCAGCCCTGGGTTCTTGTCTGGGCTAAGGAGAATATCTCGGATGAACTCCCATAAGTGAGTGCCCCTTGGGTCTAATGGAAAGCAAGACACAATGGCTTAGCAATGGTGCAAATCAAGAGAGCTGGAGGGAGAGACAGAGACTGTGGAGTAGTGACCGCCTCTGCCTCAAGATACATAACCACCAAATAGTCCTTTTACAGTGAACAAGTAATACAGTCGGGGTGTGGGGATCTCAGTGGTTTAATCAATGCCACGCAGTTAACTACAAGCAAATCCAGTACTAAAGAATCGCTGCTAACCATGTAATTCAGGTCTAGTTGCTTCTAATTATTGTTCACAAATTGCCTGGGCTTCATTTCAGACAGCAATCTTCAGTCATTTACCTAGCACCTCATCTGGTTATGTTACTCTGGGCCCATAGCTGTGCTTCAGCCAAATGGCATTACTAGAGCACTCAAGTCTTAACTGCAAGAACATTGTGTAGAGAAGGTTATCACACAGGGGTCAGGGAACCAACTTTAAGACTAGGCAGCTCCTGGAATTTGATTTTACTTTCAGGAGATTTGTGTCATTGCCCCTCCCCGATGCCACTCGAGGGACCCTATAATTTCACTTTTATGGCATAAGCTGGAGAGCAGAGAGTAAAGATGTCCCAGGTCTCTGTCCTTTCTAGATTTTACAATCCTGATACTTCTCTGTGCCCAGAGACCTTGTGTCTCTGATAGTTCAGATATGTTCAGAAGGTTTTATACATGGGGAAAAAATCTAACTCCCAGAGAGCAGAGGAACAAGGACAGGAAAGAGTGCTGTACCTCAGTCACCCCTTTCTAGCCTGCTCCTTTTGCCACTCTGTGTTTTTTTTTCCTGGACAAAGGAAACCCTTTAACCTGCCCGCAAGTTCTTTTACACTTAGTATCCTAATTTTAGAGGAAGCAAGATGAGGAAGAAATCCCCTGGAAGCCCCACTTTCAGAAACAGCTATATAGAGAGTCACTTTGATAGAAGACAAGTCCCACTTAGAGGTGAAGGAACGGAGACAGAAGCAGCATGGCCAGGTGACTTACTGTGCTTTTTGGTGTGGGACTTTACAGGGTGGTCTTGCTCCTTTTTCATATCAGGTGACTCTGCTGAGGAGAGAAGTAAGAATACCTCCGTTTACATATCTCCTACAACTATCGCTCTCATACACACACTTAGCCAATATTCACTGAATACCCACTGTGGGCCAGCACCACTGGGCTGTGTGGCAGAGAGGAAACAGAAAAATAATGCAGGGTAAGAACTGGGGATCACTACTATATACTTTATTATTATTATTACTATTATTAAGAGAGAGAAAGACTTCTGTGATAAAGGGACAAGAGGAATGTAGGAGAGTTAGCCATGCAGAAACCCAGGACAAGCTTTGCATAAATGAGAAGAGTAGGTGCAAAGTGCCTGAGGTCACTTTACACAGGACAGAAAGAAGCCAGTGTGGATGTGACCAAGGGGCAGAGAGATGGGAGCTGAAGTCTGACCACTAATGCCTTACAGGAATTTTTGAAAGAACTCTCTTATGCTTCACTCTGAGAGAAACAGTAAGCCATGGAAAGATTTAGGTCATCTAAAGGATGTTTTTATAACATAATACAAAAATGTAAACACTTATAACAAAGAAGGATAACGTTTAAGCCAGAGGAGTGCCATTTTTTTGGCATGCAAAGATACATTTTAATCACCTTGACAAAGGGGCCATTGAGTGGCCTGAGCTCAGCACAGAAGGCCACCTTGGACTATGGAAACACAGATTAGTTTAACAAATGACTCTTTATGGTAATTCTTTTGCTGTCTCCATGGAGGAAGAGACAGAGATAGCTCTTTGATGTAAAAATTTGTCTTAAAAAAATCCAAAAAAGTACTGCATGTTCTTAGGTGCATAGGACAGGTTGAAAAGTTGAATCCCAGTGAAACGAAAGTTGAACGATGACAGTAGAGATCAAGAGGAGACCAGAGGGACAGCAGGATTTGTCTGTGTTTGTGACTAGTAAAGCTCCACAAAATGCAGTTACTCTGGAAGAACAAGGCCTATTGTTCTGCCAGCCAGTAGGATGAAAATATAACGCATGGTGATTTATTACATAGCTTATAAAAAACCAGAACCAAGAAGTCCCAAGGTTCCCAGCATTCAGGTGATGAACAGTGAAGAGGTAGAGATGCTAGGGAGCTAATACATCTGACTTAGTTATCACTTATTATACACAGATACCAAGCTGTCCCATGAATATGTTGTTATTATGGATCAATTAAAGGAGGCAGAGCTGGATAGATGACTCAGCAGTTAAAAGCCCTTGTTGCTCTTTCAGAGGACTTGAATTTTGTTCCCAGTACCCACATGATAGTTCATAACTATGTGTAACTCTAATTCTAGGAGACCTGGTACCCTGATACTCTTGTTTGACTGATATGAGCACCAGGAACACACAAGGCACATAAGTGTTTGTGAGTGTGTGTGTGTGTGTGTGTGTGTGTGTACAGGCAAAACATTCATGTGAATAAAATAAATACATCTTTTTAAAACCCTCTTTAAAAGGAACTAACAACTTAGTGGCCTCGTGTGTGTGTGTGTGTGTGTGTGTGTATCTATGTGCATTTCTCTGTATCTGTGTGTCTGTGTTTGTATATGTTCAAAGGCACTTCAAGTGTTGTGAAGAACATGGTTGATCTCACTCCAAGCCCCATAATCAACAGCTAGCCAATTTTAATATATAATAGTCCCTAAGCACAAATCAATCCTCTACAGATATTAAGCAAAACATGTCTCTTCTTATGATATTATAGCAGAGCTTCCTAGCCTAGGGTTCTCTGGGGAGGTCTTCAACAGCATTCTAGATGCATTAACAATGTGTGCACAGGGAGGGGGTCAAAGCTTGCATCTGAAGGAAGAGGTTACTATTCTATTTCCAGTTAAAGTGTTCAAGAGGGCTGGAGATATGGCTCAGCGTTAGAGCACTTGTACAAGGCTTGATCCTCAGCAGCACAAAAGCTAAAATGATACGATAAGATAAAATAAAATAGTTAGAAAACCACTCCTAATTATTGAGTTCTTGCCATGTGCCAGGCACCATACTGAACATTTTACAAAGTTTATCTTAATGTCATTCATACAATAATGTTATGAAGTAGGTGTTATTATATAATTCATACAAAAAAACTATGATGTTAGTACTACTATAATTCAGTTTGTATCTATTGAGTATTCAAGAAACAGCCTGGAAGTAGAGTCAGGCTGAAAGTATCAATGGTCGGATCCCAGAAGCTCATAATTCTTTGCTAAAGGGAGGCAATTTGGTCACACAACACACTTCTCGAATGCCTTCTGAAGGATCCATCCACTTTCACAGTGTCTTCATCAACAGAAAACAAAACAATCATTCCCATGTCCTGGCACTACACTTCCCGGTGTGTGGTGCTGATGGGGGCCCCTCACACTTCCACATTCCCAAAGCTATGAGAGGACAGGAAGAGGGATTAAACAAAAGAGAAACTCCCCATTCTAAGTAAGAATTTTTCTCCTGGCATGGATGCCAGCAGGGCCTAGCCCTACGTAGCTTTCTCTGAAATGCAGAAGGACCGATACACGGAACTGGAAAGGACACCTCTTGGCCCCCTGCAGTTCAAGGGCAAGGTTGCAACACCCCACCAGGACATGATGACATTAAAACAGGTCTGGCACCCACCCCGGTTTCCCAGTGATACATCACCCTGACAGGGCCACGTTGTTCTGGAGACAAAGAATGGCATTTACCCAGCAGGCCACAAGCAAAGCTCATTTTCCAATGAGATCCAGGAGGGAACGGGGCCATGATTTCAGAGCCAGGGACGGCTTCAGAAAAACACACATTTCCTGGCACACTGGCCTCAGTCAGTGCATGAGGGCTCCAGTGTGACAGAGAATCCGTCACTTTGGGGTTATGGTATCTTTAATAACTCGATGGAATCTTAAATGTTCTCCCCTTGAAATTGCAAGTGTGTTACACTAATAGAATTTGGTCAGTCATCTCAGGGATCTCTGGCTCAATCAGGGAGTTCACAGACTCTAGATTAAAAGACTAGGAAAATTCTATACACACTCATACACACACACACACACATGTTCCTATCATCACATGGGAAAATAAGTAATCCTGGGCAAAAAGATGAATGTTTCTTTCAGATACTCTTCTCGTGCCAATAGGCAGAGGAAGCCACAAAAACCCTCCCAGCCTTAGCTCTAAAGCCTTTTGATCTATGAGCTTGTTTTATACAACAGCCTCTCTCCTACCCCCTTGTCCTCCTCACTGCCACAAAATAAAAGCTACCTTTGAAGTAGCCATGTGGTCAAAGTGATTCATTTTTATAAAATAATGGTTAGCTCTGCAGAGGTTGTCCAGCCTAGCTTTTTCTTGTTTCCCTCCCAGACACTTGGGGTCAAGGTGTCCGTGGATCCAGGTAGAAGCTGTAACATGCCCCAAGTTTGCTGTGTAAGTGGGAGCCTATGCCTTCAGCCTAGCTACTTCACAAGAGAGCAGAGATTAGATGGATTTGCATATGAGTCAGCTGTGAGCCATTTCTTTACGGGATATACAAATTTCAGTGTTCTAATAGACTGTGCCACCCTAGCTGGAGGCTCAACAAGTCAGTAGATAAACACATCAAGCCTGGGTTGGCATGACTGGCTTCAGGACTACTGAGCAGATCAGAATACTGGTGGCAGCCATTTTATGGAATGGGCAGATAAAAAAAAAATCAAAACAAAGCTAGCGTCCCTGCCGCCACTATCAAGGAGACCATCAGTTGACACTGAGCCTCACCTTAGCTCAGCTTCAACATGCATGAAAACATAGAAAGATGTTTAACTACACCCTATTTTATAGGAACTTGAAATGGCAAAACTAGGACAGATGTAAAGGTCTTTGGGGGCATTCTGGCCCCATCCAGGAGAGATTAAACTATTCTGAAAGGAAGTGACTCGGTGTGTGGTTGCAATTAATATCCTATCATACCTAAAACTCTAAAGAATCCACCAATTATAGAGTTGTTGTTTTTTGTTTGTTTGCTTGCTTGTTTTGTTTTGTTTTGTTTTTTGGAAACTAACTCTGATAGAGGGCTTGGATTATCTGTCTCATTTTCTAGCCTCTTACTAAGGCAGGTGAAAATGGGCAGGAAGCAGGGAAGCAGATTCATAAATTTCATTTTAAAGACCATCTAAAACCATAATAGATGGATCCAGAAGACAGTGACTCCCTGCTGTTACAGCATGCAGGCATAAACTGTTGCCTTGAGCCCCTGATGTTCTGAGATTCTAGAAGATGTAAGGCACTGAAAGGGGATGGTAGGCTTGGATGTGAGATGACAAGGCCGTGACTTCCTAGGAGTCTGGGGAACTTAAAAACCCCGGAGGCTCTCAAAGCAGTTGGTTCAACTTTATCATTAGTTAACAACTTTTGCCACATGTTAAAGACCCAACAGGAAAGACAGGGAAGGTGACAACTACCGGAAGTTGGAGTGGTAACTAGAGGGTGACTTGGGTCACCCTCGACCCTGAAGCTGCTAATCTTCTCTAGGTAGGTGGCAACAGTTGCCACAGAAGATTATACAGATGGACTGCTCTTCCATAGTGGCAGATATGGCCTTCCTTCCTGATTTACACAAAACACTTGAAGAGATACTCACTAAGGGCTATTTGAGGGTTGGGAGCGGGCTGCTTCAAATCTCAACCACAATTCCAGATGTGCTTAAGCTAGCTCCCAGTTCTCACATTCAAGGGACCTGACCTGCACAAAACATCAAACTAAAAGCTCTGATTAGTTCAGTTCACACAACGCATTCAACTAAAGCAAAAGAAGATGGAGAGTTATTAAGTCCACGCTTCCTTCCACACAGACACTGCTAACTTCCAGCTCTGCCATCACTCCCAAGGTCAACTCCTGCAGAATACTTCTATTACAAATGACATCTCAGCTTCACAGACCCAAAAAGGTCTAGAAATAGCCAGGGCAAGGAAAAACACAGAATCTTTTGTTCACCTAACTCTTATAGCACAGATATAAACTGTCTGAAAGCCCTCTCCCAGACCCAACCCCAATGTGCCAATCTTGCTGTAACCTTTGACAAAGCATCATGGATAACCCCTAGTTGTATCCAGTCATGACTAATATACCCAATGCAAATGTAGTTGACACAGGGCAGATGCTCTGATTACAGAGTACTGATGAGCCAACAAGATTAAGCTTCAAGTGTGTGGGGGAGGGGCCGCAAGTGCAGGACTGCTGTCCAAACTTCCAAATTACTGTTTCTGTAGACCATGCCCATAGGTCCACAGGTGTTTTGAGTTCTCTAATGCCAAACATAGTTCAAATGTATGTTTGGGATGCAATTGAAAATTAAATATAGCCTTCTCTCCAATTTAAATACAAATAAATTTACCAGGTTTATCTCCAAAGCAATTTTTTGTTCAAAATAGAAGAAACTGCAAGGAGCTTTCATCGTCTCATGAGACTAGTGAAGCAGAGTGTTACAGGGGAACACTTCTGTGGATCGTAAGCTGATAATCTTTAGTGTATGGCTGGCTGGGAAGAATGGCTGCTCATACAGATGGCAACTCAGTTCACTCCCTGGCTTTTTAATGAGAAAGGCTCCAGTGAGGTAGAAATGTGGGTGGTGCTAAGTTTTATTGATAATTAGTAAGCACTGGCGGAAGGCAAGCCCAGCCCGTGTCTGGACAACTTACCAACTGGAAGGTGACTGGAGGTTGTCATGGAGATCTGAGCCCTGCAGAAAGTTTTGCTGTCCAACAGATCTGCCGGAAACAGAAAGGGAAGGGGCATTGAGAGACCCTCGTGATGACACAGGACTGAGGCAGAGTGTAAAAGGCCATTCAGAGTCAGGGAGGTAGTTACCTACTGTGCTACCATAGCTGGGATCATAGAGATAGTTTTCTTCTTTCCATGTGTTCATGATGGAAGGATCTACAAGGGATAGAGAATGAGACCATCAACAGTTATTATCCCTGGGCAGAAGAATCCTCATCCTAAGTGGCTGCTCCATCTAAGAGGAAAGGGGAAAGGAAGGGCAGCCAAGAGAAGGAGTAAGAAAGACCCAGTTTCAATTATCTGCTACTTTATAACAATGTCAGCCTTTTTTTTTCTCCCAGCATCATGAGAATAACTTTGTTAACCATGTGATCTGCACTCATTACATTTTGGGCTGTAGAATCCTATCCTAGACCAATTCTCTTTTTTTCTAGAAATTGTTCTAGCCTGGCTGTCCTTACTTGACATCCTGCCACATAATCACCAGGATAATTTTAGTCTGGAGTAGAAGGAAAGCTTTGTTGGAGATGAATAAATATATAATAATGAGTTAATGGGCATTCTTCTTTCTTGGGAAATTGATGTGTTTCTTTCAGAAAAGGAAAAAAAATACTGGCCAATTTTCTCACAATTCCTTCACTGCTGAAATTCAGAAGAGCAGTTCCCCTTAAGTTACCTAACAGCCACTGCCATCTAAACTTTCTCCGAGTAGCTTAAGGGGTAATATACAATTCTCAAAATTCAGGAGAAGGGAGGAATCTTACTAAATCACACAAATAGCTTTTATGGGTGGACCTTTGCTTCATCTCTGGGAGATACTGAAATTGCCCCCTCCCTCCTTTGCTCCTTCTCCTGTATGCCATGTCTCAAGAGGCAGTCCAAGTGAGACACACACTTCAGCCTTTGGAACAGAAGGAAACTCCCTTCCACCTACCCCAAGCAAGCCCAACTCCCACACAATTGTCAGATCCAGGCCAGTTTCCAATATAAGCATTCTCCTTTCAAGCTGGCCAAAAGCTTGATACTCCCACCTTCGTCCTGGCATCAAGTTCTTGGCCCCCACTCTGCGCTGCTTTGGTTTTCCTGATACCCAGGTTCTACATGTGAGGACCAGGTTGAGCTACCAGCTGAGCTCTGTCTTGTTTTTAATAGCATAAATGGTATAACACCTGACTCACTGGCTAAGTCCTCCTGTTTATGACATGGGGATTTAGCTGGTATTTAAACTCACAGATAAGTATTTGGACACTCCAAGCCCAATGTTTTGAGGTTACACCCTCTGTCCTTGTTGGGTCACCTTGTACATCTGTTGTCTCTAAAACCAACATCCAGAGAGGTTTGGGGGGGGGGGGTTCCTCGGAGTCTATTCTCCCCATTTCCCAGGGTGGACCTTCTCCACCCTAAAGCTCAACTTTTCCAAACCAGCAACACAAGAATGTCCAGACGATCAAGGAGGATTATCAGCTTCTCTGTGGCCTCTCCAATATCACCTTGGCCCTTGCAGTGGGCTATATGTAAGGCCAAGGCCATTCTCTAAGCCAAATTGTAATCTGTCTCCAGAACTTGGGAAGGCCTACAAAACACCAAGCACCCAAGTTGAAGGACAGGCCTAGGAAGGCCTAATTAACATGTTTAGCAGCTTTTTTTTCTTTAATTATGGTAAACCAAGGCCCTTATAAAATATTAAATAACTGCATGGACTAATTTTGGTGCCAAGTGACTCAAAATTCACCCCTAGGTCAAATTCTTTCCTTGGCAACTGACACACAACTCTCAGGGAAACCTGTGACAAAGTTTGTCAGCCCACATGAATCTATCTGACATGGTAGTAGGAAATGACCCAGGAGCAGTGTTACCTACCTGCATGTTATGTTTTGTTTGTTTGTTTGTTTGTTGTTTCATTGGGGGGGTGTTTTGTGCCCATGAAGTTTGGGGCACAGAGAAAAGGAACCAAAATTAAATGTAGACATTATGAAACTATAGACTTTGCTCAGATCCCAGGACAGGATCTTTCAAATAGAAATAGCTTCAAGATGGGGATTGGCCTTTATAACCACCTTTAAATGTTCCTGTGGAAGCTCACTAGGGCCCAGGCACTATGCTGCCTACAACATCAAGACACTATGGCTGCCTACAACATCAAGACAGCATCAGTTCCCTCCTTGTGAAGTTCACTCCCATGGAGGTAGGAGAACAAAAACTCATCTTCTCTCCCCTTGCTCTTCTGACCCCAGCCTCACTCTTTCTGGGAAGGAAGCCCACCTTAGAATCTGTGTTTACCTGGCTACTGGTCTTGGATTTGGATTGGTGCTATGATTGACAGAAGGACACAACCTGCTGCTGGCAGCAGGACAGCTCACCACACATACTAGATGGAATTGGTGGTCCCAAGAGCAGGGAAGAGGTTTCCAATGGGCAGTGTGGCCCATTGGAAGTAGGGAAGTGACCTCTATGGGTTCCTCTTCTCCAGTGGTCTCCTGTTCTCCCTCCCCCGACTCTCCCCAGGGCTCTGCCTGGCTGAGCTGGCTCCCTCAGCCTCTCAGCACTCACCAGTTTGTTCAGTCTTGACAATGACATTGTGTGAGGACTGGAAAAGGTCACTGCTGCATTGACCTGTGAAGGATAGATTGCAAAGTCAGACTGAGTTAAAACCTGACACTTCAGTAAAGACAGAGCTGGCTCCTTTGAAGAGCTTCAGCCATCTTGCTGCCTTCCTTGTTTGCCTGTGGGAATCTCCCTGGTGAGCCTCAGCACAACAAAGCCTGGGACCATCTCTGGCCTCAGAAAACCAGTAGCCCAGGATACCTGCACAAGTGGGACTTTTTGTGGTAGAGGTAAAGAATATTATAAACAAGAAGGCCTTCTTTTCCAATGCTAGGAGTTGTAAGGCATTTGCTAGTCTAGTCTCTGTCTCCTCTGTAAAGTCAGGGGATTGGAGCAGGAAGAGTCCCTTACATGAGCTCTATGGTACTTTCTCACACTAAGACATCATATGAAATAGAAGGATGCACAGAAAGGCATTTTAGCTTCTCTAGAGCTTAAGTCTTTGATCTTAAACTCAGTCAACCCCACTTTTATTAGATCCATCTATGACATGAACCTGCATAAAATACCATGGGCGTTCCTTTACCTATGCCTTCAGCACTCACACACATGGTTCCTGCCACATAGCCTCATCTTTGTGTGCAACTCCTCTTGACTACGATATATAAAGACACATATGTTAATGAGTCTGTGGCGATTTTCTTCCCCACAGGGATTACCAATGGTTCGTATTTCTGACCTTCAGCTCTCCCATCTTTAAATGGGTACAGCATTTTCCCATAAGAATCAATTCACAGTGTAACTATATTCATAGCAAATGTAAATTAATAGAATATGTACAGAAATTCAAACAAGAAGCCCAGAGTGGAAACTCCTACCGTTTTGCACTCGCAGTCAAGAACAGCAAGACCAAACAAGTATAGAAGGTCAAAGATGACCACCATCTCCCAGGCCTCCCGGCCTCAGGTTTCAGTCAGAACAAAGCTTTCCAGGAGTGGACATAATTAGAGATGGTACTTCTAACTCTTCAAATATATGTCTGCTTGAGGCAAAGATTCCTGTGGGTTATTTAAATAATGCAGCCTTGTTTTGTTTGGATATATATATATATATATATATATATATATATATATATATATATGTAATTACCACCATGAGGTGAGTGAAGAGAACACCAGAGTACCACTCATCCAAAATGTCATGATGGCCGCCAGTGTTACTGCCACATTCCCTGCTGATGGCAGGCTGTCAACACAGGCAAGAGCTCACATTTACTGAGCCCTAGTCACTTGTCAAACACAGGCTTGGATGAGACATAAACACACTTTCCAATGGGTCACCTCTCTCTCTCTCTCTCTCTCTCTCTCTCTCTCTCTCTCTCTCTCTCTCTCCACATATATATGTATATATGTGTGTGTGTTTATGTATGTATGCCTATGTGTGTGTACACTGTCACCATGTACAATTTGCAAGATTGTGAAGGTGAGACCTAAAGAGAGAACTTTGAAGTTGTAGGAACTATTCCACAAATCACTCCAGAAACAGTCTGTGTGTATCCAGCCCATCCATTCTGTTTTCAGAAATATTTTTATTATGGATCTATTTTAAAATACCTATCTTTTTATTATTTTGTATCGTGTATGTCCTCATGTGTGTGTCTCTGTGTGTAGGTATGTACACATGAGCACAGAAGCAGTGTGGCTCATCATAGGTGTTGGATCCCCTGAAATTGACATTATAGGAACTTGTAAGACCCCTAATGTGGGTATGGGGAACCAGCTTAAGCCCTCTGCAAGAGCAGTGCACGCTCTTAACTGTTGAACCACCTCTCCAGCCCCCATTCCATACATTTAAAGGAAAGGGGGAGAGGCGGGGCTAGCCTTCTCTACTCCAGAGACACAGATCTAGTTTCATTTGTTTTCTTAAATACACAAGACTCCCATCTTAAGAACCAGGGTCTGGGGTGAGTGTGCTAGTTCATTCCTGTAATCCTAGAACTTGGAAGGCTAATTAAAGAGGATTTTGAGTTCAGGGAAGGTATGAGTGACAGAGAGAATCCAAGGCCAGCTATATAACCACGAAGTCCAACCTGAATTCAAGATAACAGGATAAAAAATTTCTAATTAAAATTTTAAAACTTATGTCAATATTTTTTCATTTTAAAAATTATTTTGTTTTTATAATTGATGATCTTTAACAAGCAAATGAATGGCTGAAAATGAAGCTATTAGTCTCTGTCAGAAAATGTAAAGGAGGACTGGAGAGATGGTTCAGAAGCTAAAGGGTCTTGATGTTCTTGTAGAGGACCCAGATTCAGCACCCAGTATCCATATGGGTGATTCACAGTCATTCATAACTCCAGTTCTAGGAGATCCAACACCCTCTTCTGATCTCTTCATGAACCCCATACACACAGGCAAAACACTTGAATGCCTCAAGTAAAATAAAATTTAAAATACATACATACATACATATATACACATATATATACATATATATGCATACATGTATACATGCATATATATGTATATAAGTATATATACATATATCTCATATATATGTATATATGTGTATATATATGAGATATATGTGTATATATATGTATATACATATATATATATAGAAAATATATACATATATATATGGAAAAGCTTGTCTTACTGTGACAAGTATCCTGTGGATAACTCAGCTAGCTCTGTCTCTCTGGAAATGAAGGCAACCGCAAGAAGAGTTTCACAAATGTTTCTAAGGGATTAGACACATATCATACATTCCCTAGGCTTTGTACCTCTCTCTGCTACTTCCCTGTCCTGGGAAATGGTTATTTGGAGATGTCACTCCTGAAAAGGAGCCCAGCCAGCTATGGAGTCCCTGCGCTTCCCAGGCACTACTCACCGTTCCACTTAAGATGCTGTAAGTTGCTGTAGAGCAGCTGCCCGGCAGAGCCTGCTGCCCTCGTAAACTCCTGCAGGCTCATGCTGCATAGGTGTTCTCCGCTGATGTCAAACTCCTGGAAAGGGATGCAGCTAGCATCCAGCTGGTTGGTGTCCAGGAGATGCTGCAGCCATTCCCACACCTGGTATTTGGTCCAGTACTGAGGGTGGATTTCATGCCACTGGCCTCCAAAAAAACCACTGGAAACTGCAAAATAGGACATGACCCTGTGAGTGGCCCCTGCTTGTTCCTGAGTTGTCTCAGATACAAGACATGGCTGAGGGTAATGTAATGGAGACCATAACCATTGCCCCCACTCTGAGAGCATCACCACGGGAGCTGAATACAGAATGTGCTCTGGATAGCAAGTCCTAGCATGTGTGTGTGGGGGGGTGCGGGTTACCCAGCTGTGTCAGGGCCTTTTCATATTCTTCCTAACATGATGTCCATCTCTGTATAGTAGATAATAGACAATACCTGAAGTACTCTGAACTTACTCTCTACCCTACCCTCAAAGAAGTGCCAACGTGAGAGGGTTGGTTATAGTTTCATCTACTTTCTAGCTGATTGTACTGATGTAAATAGATTAATTTTGCCAGGACACCTCATAAATATCAAAAACATCCCTTATATAATGCCATATTTGCATATAGCTTACACATTACCACATTACCCACTGTATTTTAAAATCTCTAGAATAACTACAACCCCCACAACAGTGTAAATGCTCTGTACATAGTTAATGCTGGATTGTTTGGGAAATGATGACAGGAAAAGATTTTGTATTTGCTTAGTTCAGATGCAGTGTGTGTGTGTGTGTGTGTGTGTGTGTGTGTGTGTGTGTGTGTACATGTGTCTGTGTATATGTAAGTGCATGCATATGTGTATTGAGTGGGTATGTGGAGACCAGAAGTCACTCTCTGGTGTTTAGTATAGCTTTCCACCTTATTTTTTGAGACAAGGTCCCCTCTCTGAACCAGGAGCTCACTGATTTGGTTAGACTGGCTGGCCAGAGAGATATAGTGATCCATCTACCTGCCTTCCGGTGCTGGAATTACAGATGTGGTCTACCACATCTGCCTGGCACTTACCTAGGTACTAGGGACTCTGAACTTAGATTCTTATATTTGCCCAGCGAGCCCTTTAGCCATGATGATCTCTCCAGCCCCCAGATAGGTGTTTTATTAGGATTTAGTTGGGTCTGTAGGTGTAGAAACCTGGGATGCAGAGGGCTGTGGATAGTTCTCTCTCACACTCTTTTTTTCCCTCTTATATACACACACATAGAAAGAGAGAAACAGAGACAGAGAGACAGAGAGACAGAGAAGAGACAAAAGCTGAGCTCCATCAAATACAGGTCACTCTCAACCAAAAATGGGGTCTTCAATTAAGCTTCCTTTTCTCTGACGGCTTTGCTCTTCCCTGAAGTGACACAGTCCATTTGCTTACCAAGTGATGTCTCCTCACCCTGGCTGATGACTGTGGTTGCTCTGACACCTGTCACTCAGTTTCCTTCAGTAGCTTCCCACTATTCCCTGAAATAAGATACAGAACTGCCACACCAGGCACTGGAGCACTTTGCTAACTGCTTTTGAATTGACCTGTCCTCTGTGGTTTTTTTCCTGTGCTGTCTGTCCCCAGGCCCCTTTCTATCCTTCCCTTTACTGATGCTGAGCTCCGGGCTCCCATTCTTTTGAACTCAGAGCCACCACTATTTCCTTAACTTACTTTGAGAACTGAATCTCTAGGAATCGAGCTTATGATTTCTCTCAACGGCACCTGTCATGTCTTGCTTATCTTTATAGATCTCTGAGTCCTGGCTTGCTCTACTCTGCAAACTGTATGTCCAAGGTCATGGACTCTAATCTTATTGATCTTCATATATCCATAAAAACTCCACTGGGGCCATAGTGGAAGCTCACTACATAATCAATATGATTCCATTTCATAACTGACCCAAATTCGGTCTGCTATGAGTGCTCACAGCTACTCTAATTTCCAGAAGCCATGGCCAAGCCATGGTCAGGAGATAGCATTCTGTAAAAAAATAAAAGTATTTACAAAGAAAATATCCCTAAAATTGCCCCTTCAAAATCATGCTGGCTTAAAACTTAAATCATGCTGACTTAAAACTTCAGTGCAACTACCATCACCAGGGACTCTGCTTACATGCAAATTCCAATCCAGTAGGTATGGGCTAGGGCCTGAATTTCTGCGTTCTTGGCAAGCTTTGCCATGTTCCTGTTGCTGCTGCTGCTGCTGGATTGTAGAGTGACGAGAAGATTCAAGACTCCATTCCCATAATGCCTAGGCACTAACCCTTTATGCTACTCAGAGGAAGTATAGGAAGCAGGGAAGATCTCAGGCAATCTCACTTTCTCCCCCTTCAGAATCCAGCCTTTGCTTCCAGACCTCAGAAGCTACAAGAGCAAGAAGTCAAGATCAGTCAGGATATCAAGGCGACAGCCACTCACAGGATAAGCCTGGTGGCTCCCATCTTACAGCCAAGCAGATGAATCCCCACAGCCTTCCCTACAGGGGACAGCAACAGGGCAAGGGGAGTAAGGACTGGGAAAAAGTTGGCTAAAGCTTGAGGTATATAGGAACTCTCCTGCAAAATACAAAGCCTATAGTGGATGCTTCCAAGTCCTTACTACTATTTTTATTATTATTGTATCTCACATGTGACACTGTTTAAAGATGAAAACTGTTGTTGTGTTGTTGTTGTTGTTGGCTGATGGCCTCTATTCCTGAAATAAGTCCATTGCTATATGTGGCTAGCCTGGGATCCTCTCTCCTGTGCACTCAATGTGAACCTAGTTACACGAAGTTTCTGATATTCAGTTAAAATCTGAGAAAGGGGAGACAGAAACTTGCCTGAAGTTGGCTAGGAGAAGATGCCTCCCTCCTCAGGCAGAGAGTCATCAGAGTTCCTCATGTCAGGGTAACTAACAACCTAGAAGGTTCTATTCTCTACCATTCGCTCTCTTCTCCCTCCCCTTCAGCCTTCATAAAGACCGGGGTCTTCTTTGGGACCTCCAGAGTTAAAGAAATAAAAGTGACTTCTGAATTGTACTCCCTGCTAAATCTACTGCTCCAGTTTTCTCCAAAGCAAACAGCAGAATAATGCCTGGGGCATGCCAAGACGTCCTGATCTCTTTAGATTTTTTTTTTCTAGTTCTCTGCAGCAAGTTCGAGTTCTGCCACAAAATATGTAATTGTCCAAAAAGGACAGCAATTTGAGGAGACAAGGAATCTAAAACAGGAAGACCACCTGTTCATGCTTCCTGCCATGCTTGGCTGGGATTCCAAATTAAAAGAGGAGTGCCACATGGACCCACCACTCAGCAGAGAATGCCACCCTGCCATTCCTCTCGCTCTTGCTTCTCCAGCTTTTCCTTCTGACAGGACACCTTTGTGTGTCCAGGTAAATGTGAACAGCTGCATCTCTGTAGGGGAAATTAGTGGCAAGTGAGGAGTGTACTGAGTCCCAGGAGCCTGGCTGTGCTGAATGCCTTCACAGTGAAGCACAGGACCCCTAATTCATCGTTCACAGTGAGCCACAGGCTGGATCACCAAACATTACCTACAAGTCTTGTCACCAGGTCCTCCTACTTTGAGTCTATATGTTCCAGAGTAAAGCACTAGAAGGCATGGCAACGCCTGAATTCCTGACCAATCTCTTCCTTAAACTGAGAAGTGATAGTAAACAAGCAATCTCTCTCTCTCTCTCTCTCTCTCTCTCTCTCTCTCTCTCTCTCTCT